AAGATTAGATATCATACATGTTCACAGAAAAATATAAATGTACATGAATATGTACAGTAGCTCTATTCCTTTCCAGCAAAATCTGGAGGAACAAAAAGCTCTTAAATAGGGTAATCAATTAAACAAACTGTAATATGTCAATATAATAGAATAATACCATTATAAAAAGAAACAAACTTGTTGATATATACAACTACTTAGATGAATCTCAAAGATCATGATAGGAAAAAGGATTCAATCTCAAAAAGTACAAACTAAATGATTCCACTTTTGTGACCTTCTTGAAAAGAAGAAAATGTAGTCTGTGGTGTTATTTTGTTTGTACAAATAAAGTGTGTCTGAAGATCAAAGGGTGGAGCTTGCCACTAGCTAACAGACAGGCATGAAGTGAGACGGCTGGGCAAAGACAGGAGGTGAGATGGCTAGACAGAAAAAGGAATATCGGCAGGAAGAAACAGCAACTCACTCTCTTGTCAACTGGGAAGTTAGCGAGGTAAGGTGTGGCTGTGACTTTCTCCCTCATCTCTTGATCTTTCAGCTTTTACCCATGTATCTGACTCCGGGCTTTTATTATTAAGACCTATTAGAACTCACATTACAATAGTCAAAGAAGACAAAGTATTTGTTTTTGAAGGCATCTTCCTAGTTTACTACAGGCATTAAAGATATTGAATGGACAAACAAATGAAAAATTGAAACCAAAAGGATTAAACTGAGTTAAATGTATAAGGAGAATACATAGGTCCAGTGGTTTGTATTTTAAGGATCCCCCAAAAGGTAAATATAGTCTGTGTAAACTTCTTTTTTTATAACACATTGTAAACAGATGTCACAAATCAATTTGAAAAAGAATGGCCAGGGTCCTGTAAGGAAGTTCCAATGGCTCTAGATATGCTCATTCTGAGAAGGAGATGGCAAGACAATTTTGTTCAAGAATTAAAGCTCCTGGGAATAGGATAAACCTGTCTGGACAAAGAGGAAACTAAAGAAGTTATTCTCTTTAGACTCAAAATCTAGAAATGCAGCTGGTAAAACATGGGGAATCCATTTATCATTTAATCAGAGTAGCAATTAGAGTGGCCAAACACTACTAGTAAGGGAGCCTTGGGAGAGAGGCGAGAAATACAACATGAGAACTATTTTCAAAACTATATTGTACCAGACATTTAAACAGAGCCTATTTGTTAGTATTATCATCTCCATGCTGAAAATAAGGAAGCTTACTCAATACTGTGACCCATGTGTTAAAGACTTGATCTATAGCTTGGCACTATTGAGAGGAAGCAGAAACTTTAAGAAGTAGGGTATTGTATGATGTTTCTAGTTTGGAGGCCTGTCCTTGAATGGAACATTGGAGCTCCAGCCTCTTCTTCTTTTGTTCTTCTTTTTTTTTTAATAAAGATTCCAGTTTGTTCTGCCATACATTCTCTGCCATAATGTGCTGTCTTACCCAAAAGCAACAGGATCATTTGAATATGGACTGAAATCCCCAAAACTGTGAGCTAAAATACATCTTTTATCTTTATACATTGACTATGTCAAGTATTTATTGCAGCAATGAAAAGCTGACTAACAAAGAAAACAAATGTAACTTGTCCAGATTACATTGTTGATAAGTGGCACAGCAGATATTTGAGTCCAGGGATGGTCAACTCCAAAAACATGTTCTTTTAGTTTAACTTGATTTTATATGATTCAATAAAAATTATTTCTAAAATAATCTGTTTTTGTCAAGCACTGTCCTAAAGCTATAAATAGCAAAATAAGTAACAAATAAAGCATACTCTTTCACTTGAATAGAATTTGTTAACTTATTATATATTCTTCAGAATGCCATAAGTATCTGATAGAGATACATCCTTTAGGGATGTCAAAGAATTATTGTCTTGGAGAGAGTCATTACCAAATAATCACTAAGATGCCTTCTAAATCTATGGCTCTATGGGTATGGACTCCTTGCATTGGAACAGATGTAGTTATAATAGATTTCTGGAAGCTGACTCACTGATATGTTATGAAACATAATTATATATTCTAGAGAAGGGAAATGAAATTTTAATGTGGCAGCATTTAAAATACAACTCTGTCATATCCTATTAAAATTATAATAATGTCCCAACAAGTTACAAATTTAGTTATTATCTAATCTAAGCCCTGCTGTTACATTGTCATTCCATAGATTTGAAAAGTTATAAAGAAAAAAATTTCTCATAGTTCCGGAGGAAGTCTAAATAAAATCAAGGCACCACCATGGGTGGTGTCTAGTAAAGGCCACTTTCTGCTTCTAAGATGGAGCCCTTTTCTAAAAAGATTTACTTTATTTCTAGTTATGTTTATGTATGTTGGTCTGTATATGAATATGTACATGTGAGAACTGATGCCCTCAGAGAGGGTTGGGAATCAAATGTGGGTCATCTCCAAGACTTATATGTGCTCTTGATCATTAAGTTATTACTCCAGCTCAAGATACAACCTTCTTGCTATGTTGTCTAAAGGGAAGGGATGCTGCTTTAATATAGCTAAGGAGATTTAAAAGGCTCATCAAGTTCCTTTTATCCCATTTTTTAGCTCTTTTTACTCAGGACTTCATTATCTCTTCAAGGACCTTCCTCTTAATACGATGACACTGATGATTACGTTTTAACATGAATTTGAGGGAGCTATTCAGATCATAACAGCCATGGTATTGTAATGGTTCATCTCGAATGTCAACTTATCAGAACTCTTAGTATCTTAGGAGAAAAAAAAAACATGATGTTACAGTGAAGGCATTTCCAGAGAAGTTAAACTAAAGTGAGAAGGCCCACCCTGAGTTTGGGTAACAGCATTCACAAGTGAATAACACCAGCACCCCTCCTTCCTTACTATAGATACAATGTGGCCAGGCACGTTCTCATGATGGACTGAACCTTCAAGCTCTGAGCCAAAATAAAGCCTCTCTTCCTTAAACTGACTTTTGACAGGTATTTTCCTACAACAACAAGAAAAGTAACTAATACAGAAAATTAGTACAAAGCAGTGGGGCTGTTGCTGTGCTAAATCTGACCATGTGGTCAGAAGTGGAAATGGTTTCTGAAGGAAATGTTTGAAGAGGCATCCAGGAGAAGCTGTGACACTCATGAAGAGGTCAGAGGACGACTTTTCAGTCAGTTCTCTCCTTTGACCTTTACATGGTCCCAGGGATTGCACTCAGATTTTCAGGCCTGTGCAGTAAGCACTTTAACACAATGAGACATCTTACCAGCCCAGAAGTTTCATTATCTAATTTTATAGTTTAAGCAGTATAGAGCTGGGGGTAATTTAGTACAAAACAACTGTTCCATAATAATCTCTAAACAAATCTATTTAGGTTATACTCTAATATGTTAGACCTAAAAGAAGGGGAGATAGAAACATGAAATTCAAACTTATTTACCAGTATTCTACTTAGACACTACAGAAATCTACCCACCTTTTTGTGTTTTTTTTTATTTAAATTAGAAACAAGCTTCTTTTACATGTCAATCCCAGTTCTGTCTCCCTCCCCTCCTCCCCTGACCCCCACTGACCCCCTATCCCAACCTCTTTCTGCACCCCAGAGAGGGTGAGACCTTCCATGGGGGATCTTCAAAGTCTGTCATATCATTTGGAGCAGGGCCTAGACCCTCCCCGGTGTGTCTAGGCTGAGAGAGTACCCCTCTATGTGGAGTGGGCTCCCAAAGTCCATTTGTGTATTAGAGGTAAATACTGATCTACTACCAGTGGCCTCATAAATTGCCCAGACCTCCAAACTGCCCTCCTAATTCAGGGGGTCTAGAACAGTCCTATGCTGGTTTCCCAGCTATCAGTCTGGGGTCCATGAGCAACCCCTTATTCAGGTCAGCTATTTCTGTGGGTTTTTCCAGCCTGATCTTTACCCCTTTGCTCATCACTCCTCTCTCTCTCTGAAACTGGATTCAGCAGAGCTGAACTCTGGAAACCTAAGTTTGACCCCTAGGTCACACACCAAGTAGGAGAGAACCTATACCTACAAGTTTCATCTGACCTCCATTGTAGAAGAAGCGTGTGCACACAAACACATGCACACACAAAACATAAATGTTAAAAATCAATAAAAATTAAAACTTATTTAAAATGTAAAAGGAATTATATGAAAATCTCAGACCTCTTTTTACAGTTAAGCATAAGACGAAAGCTTGTTAAAAACCAAAGCAGAAATGGAAACACTGTGATTCCTTCTGTCTACCTTAAATCACAACCCAAGGGCTTACAAGATGACAAACTGAACATATATATCTAATATTTGTTTTATCTTCTTGTTTTTTATTTATTTGTATTGTTTTATTTGGGGTTTGTTTGTTTATTTTGGTTTGTGTTTGAGTCTTGCAACAAAGCCCAGGCTAGATGCAGCTATCACAGATGCACACCATCACACCTGGCTAGCTAATATTTTTTAATATAAGAATACAGACCTCTATAGTGATAATATCTTCAGCAATATTTTATGAAGGATGCACAAAGTTATTAATGATAACAGCATTTGTTTATTATGCACCAGGAGTATAGCAATATAATCTTTTAAAAAACATACCATGAATATAATACTAAAACTAGTAGCAGAGTTGAGACCAGAATATTGTTTTCCTAATACTTAATTCAATAATTTTTCCCATTACACTACCCTACAACTATCAAATATAAATGAGATTTTCAACACACATGCATGTATACATAAGGTCACATCTCACATACAATACCTAAGTATATATGACTTTGTTGGTACCAGTAACACTTATGGAAATAAGATTAATCATTTTATTGAATAAATATGATAATATTAATTAAATTGCTACCTTCACATGGCATCTATAAAACTAAGGACTTACAAAACTTTGTTTCTCCTATCTCTGATGGCTGGTTTTGATTATTAACCTAAATGAATTAAAAACACCTAGTGGAATGCCTCTGTGGGGGAATTTTTAAAGACAATCAGATCCTGAAAGATGAATTGGCTTGTTTACCTCCTTCAGTTCCTGTACAACAGCTATGAGCCTCTCATTTTCTGCCTGGACATTTGTAACCACAGTCCGGCTCTGCTTCAGTTCATTCTGCATCTCCAAGATCTTGTTTAGATAGTAAGCTTCCTTGGATGCAGACTCCTGTAGAAGTGTTTCCTCCCGAGTCTCTCCATCCTCAGCCACTTTACGGTGGATAGAGAAGGACTGTCCAAATGCCTGCAAAGAATTTGAAAAGAGAAAGAGTGCAAAATGAAAACACCTCAAGATTGTTAAACAGACTTAGACAGATATTTGATTTGGTTTTGTGTATAAGAAAAGCTATTCTGAAATACTTGTAGATGCAAAAAATAAAATAATAAATAAATACACATACACAAAGTGTAACAGTCTGTCACTTGTTGTGCTTGAAATAATTCATTCCCTGTCTGGGGAATGCTGAGAATTAAACCCAGGCCTTCACTTGTGCTAAGTACATGCTAAATCACTGTTACAACTCCAAACTCTTCATGTACAATCATAAGGGTAAAGAAAAAGTTTAAATATCTTGCAAAAATATATGTGTGTCAAAGAAAACTTAAAAACATTGCTAGGCACTTTATGTTACATTCTTCAGACACATTCTACAGCATGGTGTTAATGAGACCACCAAATTTTATGTTGTTGTTTTTGTTCTAGAAAACATCCACAAATATTTTCCAAGAAAGAAAATAATAATTTCATCAGTTCTTTAGTACATTGGCAATAATGCCAGACCGATTATGGATAATATCCTTAAGAGAAAAGAAAATGCACCAATCAACATTCAAATTTCCCAGTATCACAAGAAGACATTAAATGTCATCTCATATAATAAACATTTGTTTATTTGTGCAAATACAGTTACAGAAATAATAAATCAAGTTAACAAAATTGAAAGCAAAACAGAGGATTGCCGAATGGTATGGAAAGAATGAGAATGAACTCTGATAGAAGAGATAGGGAAAGTAATACTTAGTTTTGAGTATGTCTTTTCATGTCACTCTGACACTTAAAACTAAAATAATATTTCATATTCACCCCCAAATAAATATTACTAAAATTCAATGCATACTGAATACAAACAAGAACAAATGATTCTAGCTTTCCTACAAATGATCAATTCAGCCACAGAGAAGGGGGTGGGAAATAATAGACCAACCTGAATAATTTTGAAAACAGAATTTTTACTAAATAGCCTTCCATACAGTAGAATTCTAACATAAAAATGTGGTAGAAATGAATTGTATTATGAAAAGACCAAGAAATAACTATTACAGGGTAAAAAAATCATCCATGTAGCCTAATATTCATGGACAAAAATGTAGGGAGAAACAGAGTATATGCACCATCTTTTGCTGTGGTTTGGGGTTTTGTTTTTTGTTTGTTTTTCTTTTAAGACAGACCAAGTGGGCCTTGAACTCACAGCGATCTACTTGGGTCTGCCCTCCAAGTGCCAGCTATTTTGTTTATTTAGATATGGTGGTATCTCCTGAGAAATAAATGTGAAGAAACCTGGGAGATACCATCATATCTAAGTAAACAAAATAGCTTACAAAAAGTCAGCAGCAATGAGACACAGGTACCATGTGTCACGGCCTTACTTCAGTGGCATTCTTGTCAATAGTACAGAAGCCAGCCCTTGTAAGACTGGAAGAGCATTTTTAAAAGTTATACAGAATCCTAAGTATGAAGTTTATGAAAAAAATACTTAGATTTCTAAGACTAGGTAAGACCATGAAAACATGTCAACTGAGTACTGTGTGGGTTCCTGTACTGGCTCCTAAAGCTATGGGGGAAATGGCACCATAAGATACCACCTTTGGATACATGAAAATCAGTGAAGTACTTTACAAGCTTCTCTGTATTTTAAAAAATAAACTAGTAAACAAGTGAATACAGTCTCTTCACTAAAAGGAGCTGACAGATCTGACAAAGTCCTAGCATACAGTTACTAAACAAGATGTGGGCATAAACACCAAAGAAATACTATATTCAGTAAGAGGACTGGCATGATTTTCTAACATTTAATTTTTTAAAAAAAAATTACAGTATAGTGCTTCTGGATCATGCAAAGATAAAGTTACAATCAGTCTGCAAAACTCAGTTCCATAATCATTACACTAAAAATCTTGTCTGAGAGCATGTCAGTGACTCTAAGGAACATCTAAAAATGTTTCAAAACAAAGCATCCTTTGGAGATTTTAAATATTTGTTTTTATTTTTACGTGTGTGTGTGTGTGTGTGTGTGTGTGTGTGTGTGTGTGTGTGTGTGTGTGTAGGTGCTT